ATAGACATTGGGGAGGGTATGTGCTACGGTGAGCGCTGTGAATTGTGCAAGACTGTTGAATCACAGATCTGTACTTCTGAAACAAATAACGCAACATATTTTAAGAAAAAAGAAAAAGAAGAAGATAGCAGGAGAGGAAGAATGAAGGGGAGTAAGTCAGAGGGGGAGACAAACCAGGAGAGATGATGGACTCTGAAAAACAAACTGAGGGTTCTAGAGGGGAGGAGGGTAGGGGGATGGGTTAGCCTGGTGATGGGTATTAAAGAGGGCACATTCTGCGTGGAGCACTGGGTGTTATGAACAAACAATGAATCATGGAACACTACACCAAAACAAATGATGTAATATATGGTGATTAACATAACAACAAAAAATTTTTTAAAAAAGTGTATTCTGTGGCTCTTGGATAGTATGTTTTGCAAACGTCCACTAAGTCAAGATTCTTGTTCAATGTATCTTTTGCCTTCTCCCATCTCCCTCAACTTTGCCAGTGATAAAGACTCTTTTTCCAGGAACTTTGTTTTATCAAAGCTAAAGCCAAATTATGGACAAGTGCCAAAGACACAGCTGATGAGGGAATCCTGCCATCCAGTGTGCCCTCCCTGCCATCCACAACTGTCTTCCCACAGTCCAAAAAAGTAAATACCATCTGTCCTTGGCCGCTCTAGCCAGGACAACCTGAGTAGAGAGGGAATCCCAGCTCCCATTCATCCATTCATTCAGATTTTGCTGAGTACCCAATATGTCTGACACTATGCCAGGTGCTGACTGGATTACAGAGATTTCCAAGGAAATAATGCAATAAGCTGATCCTATGGTTTAAGCCCTGGAGTCCCATTTGCCCACCAGGGAAGCTTAGCTATGTAACAGGTATCAATTAAAATTCAGGGAGTTAACTTAGAAAACAAACTACCATTTATAGTATTGTTCTGAAGAAAAAGAACTCCACAAACTTGAAAGTCAAACAATTTACCAACAAAGTACAACAGAACTCTGGGGGTTATCAACAAAATATTACTTGATATAAATTAAGGTTCATATACATCAATAAAATGTATTATGCAACCAATAAAAATTATGTTCAAGAAAAAAATTACATTCAAGGAAAAAGTTTTTATTCTGTAAAACAAACACCAACACACATATGTATTAAGAGAGGGATAACATGCCTTTGCAGGACAGAGACACCAAAATAGTTATATTTATAGGATTTACCAAGTGAAGTGATTTTAATGTTTATTTGCTTATTTGTATTTTTTCTATAATACACATATTAGATACTTTTATTTTGTTATTTTGAGAATGGCCTATTTTTTATTGTTTTCTTTTGGAAACTATATAAACAATGTCAATATTTACAGCAATAAAAACTTTAAAAGCTTATGGAGGAACCTTTTAATGTAAATATTTCATAATTAGAAGTGATTCTTATTTTAGTATCTCAATCTATTATACATGAAAAAAATGGAACTCCCATTGGCCCTAAATTTGCTACTCACCCACAGATGACAAGAGGCTCAAAGCAACTCTGTTTTGTTCACCAACGGGAGGCGACGAAAATGTCCGGCATTTTATCTACATGGACATGAGTTACACTTTCCATAATCTCATGAATCTCACGGTCTCAAAAACCTGCCAGGATCTCTCATCTCTCACTGAAGAGATATTCTCTCCTCTGACAGCACAAACTGACTAGGAGAAATAATTTTTATTTATTTATTTATTTTTAAAGATTTTACTTGACAGAGAAAGACACAGCGAGAGAGGGAACACAAGCAGGGGGACTGGGAGAGGGA